ACAGGTGCGAGTAAGAAGGTCCAAGATTGTGAAATTTCCAACTTCCTATGAGGCTGATTCCTCCTTAATATAAGTAGATGGATATTCTGTCTGTGTATATTCTGTGGGTGTATAGATATCAGTTGTGACGAAACCGAGCTCGCCACTGGGCATTGGAGAAGCCTGTTTGCCCGCCTCCTGCCTGCTGACTATGGCCCCTGGGAGATTTGACCCTTTAAATACATGATTTGGGCATAATGGATTTGTGTTGTGCTACTGCTGGCCCTTTAAGAACCATCTGGGGACATACTGTGCAGTTACTGGGTGGCCACCATTTCCTGTATCAGAAGCACATGGTGAGAACAATGGATGAAGCACATGGTGAGAACAATGGATGGCGGCCATTTTAACTCACAGACACTGTGTGGACTTTTCTACACAGTGCCATTTTGCCGGTATTTGGTGCACAGAGACATCGTGCAGTAGTTTTTTAACTATACAACAGGGGACACAGAATACAGTAATTATTTTTTATATAATCTGTATATGTTCTGTGGAATCTGCATTAAACTGGATCTTCCGTTCAGTACTTTGGATCTGGGTGAATTTTGGATATGTGGTTCACCCAGATCCCCCGGTTCCAATGATATACTTTTTATGGGGTTATTGCATGTTTTGGGGTCTCTGTGATGTGTTTTATGAAACTGTATTTCTCTGGCTGTGATAATGAGATTAACCATTGTGTTCAGTAATCATATCACAGGCAGAGGGGAGGATTTTGTGTGGGAGTGTCTGTGTGTATTGTACGGATTGATTGGCTGTGTTTCAAATCCCTGTGGGCAGTACCATATTTGTGGATTGTGAATAAAAGAGGCTGTATGTGCCAGTCCAGTCAGTTCTGCTTGACCTCAAAACGAAGTGTCGTCTCGTTATTGGGGGAATTGGATTGTATGCCGATTGCCAGGAGTGTAAGCTGTTTGTATGATTTTCCTGTTCAGCTGTTCACAGCATTCATATGCTTGAGAGCATTCATATGCTTCTCCAGTTCGGTGGTTGTGGTGTCTGCTGTAGTGCTTGGAGTCCTCATGAAGCGCTAGGAGCATCCTTCAACGGAGGTACCCAGTTGGGGTGCCAGGTGATCCGTTACATCAGTGTATCGGAGATATCCTTGTTTGTGTGATGCAGATTCAGAATTCGATTTACAGTCCATCTGTTTATCTCCTGTGGGTGTGAAAACCTCTGTGCTCGTAAGCGGACTGGCTTCACATGAGGCTGACTCTTCCTTAATAAGGTCAGGTGGATATTCTGTCTGTGTATGGTCTGTGCCTGTATAAATTTCAGTGTTTATAAGAAAATGTTTTTCATTTGATGCCGAGTCACACTTTGATGTATAGTTCATTTGTGCATCTCCCTTGGTTGTGCAAATGGAAACTTCAACAAGATTTCCATCTTGCCATGAGACCGATTCCTCCTTAATATGAGTAGATGGATCTTCTATCTGTGCATCTTCTGTGGGTGTATAGACATCTGTGTCTGGGAGATTTCCATCTTGCCATGAGACCGGTTCCTCCTTAATATGAGTAGATGGATCTTCTATCTGTGCATCTTCTGTGGGTGTATAGACATCTGTGTCTGGGAGATTTCCATCTTGCCATGAGACCGGTTCCTCCTTAATATGAGTAGATGGATCTTCTATCTGTGCATCTTCTGTGGGTGTATAGACGTCTGTGTCTGTGAGATTTCCATCTTGCCATGAGACTGGTTCCTCCTTAATATGAGTAGATGGATCTTCTATCTGTGCATCTTCTGTGGGTGTATAGACATCTGTGTCTGTGACATTTCCATCTTGCCATGAGACCGGTTCCTCCTTAATATGAGTAGATGGATCTTCTATCTGTGCATCTTCTGTGGGTGTATAGACATCTGTGTCTGGGAGATTTCCATCTTGCCATGAGACCGGTTCCTCCTTAATATGAGTAGATGGATCTTCTATCTGTGCATCTTCTGTGGGTGTATAGACATCTGTGTCTGGGAGATTTCCATCTTGCCATGAGACCGGTTCCTCCTTAATATGAGTAGATGGATCTTCTATCTGTGAATCTTCTGTGGGTGTATAGACATCTGTGTCTGGGAGATTTCCATCTTGCCATGAGACCGGTTCCTCCTTAATATGAGTAGATGGATCTTCTATCTGTGCATCTTCTGTGGGTGTATAGACGTCTGTGTCTGTGAGATTTCCATCTTGCCATGAGACTGGTTCCTCCTTAATATGAGTAGATGGATCTTCTATCTGTGCATCTTCTGTGGGTGTATAGACATCTGTGTCTGGGAGATTTCCATCTTGCCATGAGACCGGTTCCTCCTTAATATGAGTAGATGGATCTTCTATCTGTGCATCTTCTGTGGGTGTATAGACATCTGTGTCTGGGAGATTTCCATCTTGCCATGAGACCGGTTCCTCCTTAATATGAGTAGATGGATCTTCTATCTGTGCATCTTCTGTGGGTGTATAGACATCTGTGTCTGGGAGATTTCCATCTTGCCATGAGACCGGTTCCTCCTTAATATGAGTAGATGGATCTTCTATCTGTGAATCTTCTGTGGGTGTATAGACGTCTGTGTCTGTGAGATTTCCATCTTGCCATGAGACTGGTTCCTCCTTAATATGAGTAGATGGATCTTCTATCTGTGCATCTTCTGTGGGTGTATAGACGTCTGTGTCTGGGAGAGTTACTTCTTCCCTTGAGACGGATTCCTCTTTAATATGAGTGGATGGATTTTCAGTATCTATATGTTCTATGGGCGTATTAATGTCACTAATCTGTTCCACCTCAGATTCTGTGGTTTCATGACTGGCCACATAGTTTATTTTTATTTATTTGATTGATTTTATAATCTTCGGTTACATAATCCAGAGAACAAACTGAAGTATAGGATTCACTGGTTTTATTTCGGTCTACGGAGCAATCTATTGAAAAGAAATGGTTCTACATTAGGAGATTTGACATTATGTAGGAATATAAAATGCTACTGCTATCTTGAAATCTGAGACTGAGCTTAACCCCTTAAGGACACATGACATGATTCCCTTTTATTCCAGAAGTTTGGTCCTTAATGGGTTAAAGAAAAGCATACATAAAGAGACACTCTAAATACGAAAAGCACTACATCTTATTGTTCTGATTTTCATAAATAGACCAACGTTAATGCTATCACTGGATTCAGGTAAGTCACTGAAGGGGTTTAACCCCTTAAGCAACATGGGATGGGAGGAAGGTGGGCACTGCAGTATTCTACAGTGACAGGAAAACGTAACCAAGTGATATTACCAATTATGATTTTTCTTCGTACTCCCCAGGATTCCTTAAAGGGACACTGTATGCACCCAGACCACTTGAGCTCATTGAAGTAGTCTGGGTGCAGTGTACCTTTTGCACTTAGTGCTGCAATGTTAAACATTGCAGCTCTAAGTCTGCACTCAGTGGCTGTCTGCACTTCCAGAATCCAAATGGACTTTTGGTCCGTTATCTGACGCTCTGCATGAGGACCTCCAGCATAAGATTTTCCCCATAGGAAAGCACTGATTCAATGCTTTAGTATGGGGAGGTCTAATGTGCGCGTGGCATAGACATAGACAGCGCTTGCAGCACACAAAGGGAAGGGGGGGGGGGGGTCGTGAGTGCAATCTATGAGCCAAATCAGCTCAGTTCTGTGACATGATGTACAAGGGGCTTGGCCAATGGTGTGAGCTGCGACCCTCCTTTAAAATAACAAAAAAGAAAAAAATTACAATGAGAAAAGACGTAAATGTAAATGTAAATCCAGAGCAGGGGCATGTTTCCTCCACACCACCACTGAGCTATGCGGCTACTGCAGCCTCAGTTATTGTGAGCCTGCTGAGCAAAACCACTTACAAAGCAGACTGAGCCTATTTCATTTTTGGTAAACGCAGGACAGGTGCCCTCGTTGGCAGACTGCACAGCTTTGCACAGTTGCAGAAAGCAATGTAGAGATGAAATTCTCTGCCTTATCCGCTTTTTTGATGTAAAATATATTGTTTTCGGGCTTTGACTGAAAGAGAGTTATTCTAGCAGACATAATTATTATGATATTTATTAGTTCCAACCTTGAACAAAAATGCAGTTAAACACAAACCCCCACACATAGAGAGTTTAAAAGTCAAATGAAATACATAACAGCAACAAGCCCTGACACACAAACAGCTAGCGGTAATCCTTGAACCACGTAGGTTTAACCCATAGAATTTGAATTAGTCACTGCCGGTCAGGGACAGGCCATCCCCATGTTCACCCATCTCCGGAGCAAGATGTATTCCTTCCTTGAGAATCAAGAGGATGTTTAAAGTGAACATCTAAATCCAGATATTGTAGCATGGGCAGGAGGCTAAATGTGTGGCAGAGCCTGCATATTTCTTGTATTATTGGTGCAGGACTCTGTTATACTAGACCTCAAAATCACTTCTTGGCTCTCTTCCATCTCCCTCCCATTTATTCCATCAGAGCACTCGCCCATCTTAACCGCACACAGTACCCTGTGATGCCAGAACCGCTATGCCTTCCGGGTGACGTTTCCCTGATTCTCTGGAACTCCGGCTCGGCCTTACCTGCCAGATCAAGTTTACCCACTGCTTTAACACTTTTTTTTAGAGGTACAGAGGGTCACTACCAACACGTTATTTGGAGGGAAGGTACAGAAGGTCACTACCAAGAACCAATAAATATGAGCCTGGGAGAGCCCACTTTTCCAAGGCCACAGGTGACTCCACTTACAGACGGTCGCTTAGCCGTGACCAGCCTGAAACTAATCACCGGATTGAGATGTGACCATGTCCGATTGAAACTGTTCTGGATTATCTCTCCTCAATTAAACAGCTGTCACTGTCAATGTAACCACTGATAACATGTAACAATACACCACACATAGCCGCTCTCATGTCTTCTACTCTGCTGCCCTTTGTGTTTCTGTATTGCTGAGTCGATCAGCTGATGTTTGTTTGGTGAGAATTGTATGCGAGTTTTAGTGGTCCAATCTAATATAAGAGGGCACCTATCTGAGGATGAATGGATTCTCCTAAGTGACTGACACGTAAACAGAAATAAAATTGTTTAAAAATAATTCTCAGTAGGGAAATCCAACACTGTTAATGGCTTGGTCTCACGGTCATGTGTTTTATTTCTGCACGAGCACATAGTGTTTACTCTGAGGATAAACAGATTTATTAGAAGTCTTCTTAGTATCCATTTCACAAATCTCTCCTGTAATAACGCCAGATCAATGTTAAAACAAGTGTGTTGCGGAGCTGCAATTTTATAATCCCAGGATATCTGCTGGTAGAATGCAATATCCAAGTACAAAGCTGGAAGCAGGCAATATTCCCAAATCCTCCCAAGAACCAGACGAAACACAGTCTGAGAGTCAACTGCCACTTTATTCAAAAAGACTGATATTTAAAGCAGGTCACTCAACTGTCACTTTATTAAAAATAACTGATATTTAAAGCAGGTCACTCAACAGGGGTTTCCAAAGATGGGCAGCAGGGGTTTTGGTTGAGGGGACTGGAGGGAGACTACCGTTTCCAGGTCCTCCTCCCAACAGCCCCTGCTGTAACATACAGTAATGAAAACCACGAGGACATAAACCGTTACCTTTCTACTTCAAAATATACAACTTAGTCAGTTTTAATAGCAATGCTAACGAATGGGGAGGATTCGAACAGACATACACAGTACAGCATAAATTAAACATAGCCGGAGACGCCACACTATACCGGCGCGCAGTACACAACAGAAAATAGGCACAACCATTCTATCTTAGGCAGTCCCAAGTGGCTAGGTTTGCCACAATGCTCCCCAAAACCAAGCCGGCATACACAGTCTGATCCCAACGGATCGGCTTGGGGATGTCCGGGGGAGTGCTCACAGATCATTTCTCAAGTTCTGTCTGTCTGGACAACCCATCGGCGTTACCATTCTGTTTTCCAGGGCGATAATGGATCGTGAAATCAAACGGCTGCAGCGCCAAACTCCAGCGCAACAGCCGGGCATTGTCTCCTGATACCCTGTGTAGCCACACCAACGGGTTGTGATCTGTGAGCAAGGAGAATGGTTGTCCATACAAATAAGGTTGTAACTTTTTGAGGGCCCACACCACGGCCAGGCATTCCTTCTCGATGGCGGCGTAGCCTACTTCCCTTGGTAGTAATTTTCTGCTTAAGTAAGCTACGGGATGTTCTCCGCCATCAGCTCCCACTTGGCTCAGTATTGCCCCCAATCCAAACATGGAAGTGTCTGTGTGAACAAGAAATCGTTTAGTTGGATCAGGGGCAGTTAACACAGGAGCCTTAGTTAATGCAGTTTTTAGTTCATGGAATGCCTGTTCACACTCTGGGGCCCAGTTGACCTGTCGTGGCAAGTTTTTCTTGGTCAAGTCCGTCAGGGGTTTGGCCAGGGCGCTGTAATTGGGCACAAATGGCTGCTACCTCCTCTATTCTCTGGTGATAGGGTTTGAGCATGTTCACATGGAGCATGCGTCGTTTCCCTACCCCAGAGCACGGGCCGATCACATAAGTGGTGTCACATCTCTGTTCTACCACTTGGTATGGGCCCTGCCAGGTGGCCTGTAGCTTTTCTGTGCGGACAGGTTTCAAAATTAGAACTTTCTGTCCCACCTGAAAGCTACGGTCTCTGGCTCCCCTATCGTACCACCGGCGCTGTCGCCGCTGAGCCGCCCGGAGGTTCTCCCGTACGGTTTAGGTTAGAGCCTCCAAGCGGTCCCGGAACTCCAGCACGTATGGCACAATGGGGACTCCATCTGCACTGCTCCCCCCCTCCCAATGTTCTCTAATTAAGTCTAGGGGTCCCCTCACCCTTCTCCCAAACAATAACTCAAACGGAGAGAAGCCGGTAGATTCCTGTGGCACTTCTCAGTACGCAAAAAGCAGATGGGGTAAAAACCTCTCCCAGTCTTTATGGGACTCCCCAAATGTCCTGAGCATCTGCTTCAAGGTACCGTTAAAGCGCTCACACAACCCATTGGACTGCGGGTGATAGGCAGAATTTACAATTGGCTTAATGCCACATAACTTCCATAGCTGGTGGGTCACTTCGGCTGTAAATTGGGTCCCCCTATCCGAAATTATCTCTTGGGGAAATCCCATCCTGGAAAATATCTTCATCATAGCTTCGGCTACCGTTTCTGCTTGTATATTGGAAAGGGCTATAGCCTCCGGGTGGCATAATCTACAATGGTCAGAATATACCGCTTGCCGGAAGGGCTAGGCTTGGACAGTGGTCCTACTATATCCACTGCTACTCTGCTAAAGGGTTCTTCAATAATGGGAAGGGGCACAATTTCGCTTTGTGGCGGTCACCCCTTTTTCCCACTCTCTGACAAATGTCACATGTCTGACAATACTGTCTCACATCTCTAGATATACCTGGCCAGAAAAATGCATGTGTCAATCTGTACCTCGTTCTTGTCATCCCTAAATGCCCAGACAGCGGAATATCGTGGGCAATTCTAAGCAGTTCCTGCCGGTATTTCTGGGGCACTATAAGCTGCTTATTAGTCACATGTACAGACCCCCCTACCACCCGCTCAGCAACACGATATAACAGATTTTTCTCCCATACATACTGTTCTCCCTCTAAACCTGTCTGACCAGCTGTCGCCTTATCCTTATAAATTTGCAACGTGGGATCGTTTTTAACCTCTGCCTCAAAGTCAGTCGGGGTATCCCAGGAAACACGGGTTACACGGGGTACATTGTCTCTTACCTGAGCCTCAGAGTGTGTGGAAGATGAAGCCGTGGTGCGAGCCTGCTGACGGGTGGTCACTGGATATGCCTCATGGCGAGGACTTTGGGGCACAAAAGCGGAAGTCATTTGCCCCAGGTCATTCCCCAAAACAACATCAGCTGGTAACTTGTGCATCAGCCCCACCTCCACCATACCTTCCCCCGCACCCCAATTCAGATGTACCTTGGCAGTTGGTAGCCGGTACATGGCACCCCCTGCTACCCGGACTGCTACCGATCCCCCGGTATGTGCTGATCCTGACACCAAATGCGGGGCAACCAAAGTTAAGGTAGCGCCGGAATCACGTAGCCCCTGTACCTCTTTCCCTTCCAGAGTCACGGTCTGGCAATGTGGTTGTCGGTTGTCAGTAGCATGGATGGACATTACATCGTGCAAAACGCCCAGGGGTTCATCAGCCGACTCAAGCGGCACTCCTGGCAAAGTTGGCTCTGCATGATAATAATGAGCAGCTGCCCGCGGGGCCATATTCTGCCGGAGCTGATTCCAGTTCTTGCGGCTCCGGTTTTGGGTGCACTCCCGGGCCATGTGCCCCCATTGCTTACAGGCATGGCACTGGATGTTGGACCTGCCATTATAACGGGAGTGGGGAGGTTGTCCCACAAGTGCTGGTCTGGATGGTGCTGTCGCTGGGGCAGGAGCAATAACTGGAAACGGTTGCGGGTTGGGTTTTGCATACCCTCGGTTATTATTTTTATGATGCCTCCTAGCATCATAATGTTGGTCGGCCAATCGTGCCGCTTCGGTTAGGGTGTGAGGATTTCGGTCATTCACCCATTCTTGAGCCTCTGGTGCCAGGCCATTACAAAACTGCTCCAGTAGCAACATCTGGCGTAACTCTTCCATGGTGGTAGCTCTGCTGGCTTGTATCCAGCCTTGTGAGGCTTGGTCAAGCTTGTGTGCCCACTCCGCATGTGAGTCTTTGTCCCCTTTTTTCAATTCTCGGAACTTGCGCCGGTATGCCTCTGGGGTAATGGCATACCTTTCTAATAGCGCCTGCTTTACCTTGTCATAATTCTTGCTGTCCTCTCTGGGTACAGCCCGGTAGGCGTCTGCTGCACGCCCAGACAGTTTGCCTGCCAACAAAGGTACCCACATAGCTTGCTCTACATCATGCAAGTCACACAATCTTTCAAAATCTTGCAAGAATCCATCTATTTCGTCTTTATCCTCGCAAAAAGTTTTAAATGCATGATGTGGTATTTTTGGCCTTCCCTGGCCCACAGTTGAAACAGCAGCGGTTTCTGCTTGAGGTGAGAAGGCTTGATTCCTTTGCGCCATCACGTACTCCTGTGCATCCGCCGAAATTATGGTCATAATTTCTGGAGATACTGGAGCGGGCCAAAATGCCAATCTTGTCCTCATTTCTCGTTCAAATGGGGTCTCCTCCATGTTTGCTGGGGGTGTAGCACTACGAGCTCGGTCTCCTTCCATTAGCTCGGCAATAAGTCTTGCTTTAGGCTTATTGCTGGCTATCTTACCCCTGGCTTCCAACAGCTCCTTTAACGTTTGCCGTTTCAATATGGTGTAGTCCGTCCCCATTCACTTCTGCATCTGTATCAATTGCCTTCTGCTTTCCAGTATGTCAATTCCAATTGTATAAACAGCGTTTTTCCTGCTGTACGGTTGGATCCCGCCGCTGCCACCAATTGTTGCGGAGCTGCAATTTTATAATCCCAGGATCTCTGCTGGTAGAATGCAATAACCAAGTACAAAGCTGGAAGCAGGCAATATTCCCAAATCCTCCCAAGAACCAGACGAAACACAGTCTGAGAGTCAACTGCCACTTTATTCAAAAAGACTGATATTTAAAGCAGGTCACTCAACTGTCACTTTATTAAAAATAACTGATATTTAAAGCAGGTCACTCAACAGGGGTTTCCAAAGATGGGCAGCAGGGGTTTTGGTTGAGGGGACTGGAGGGAGACTACCGTTTCCAGGTCCTCCTCCCAACAGCCCCTGCTGTAACATACAGTAATGAAAACTACGAGGACATAAACCGTTACCTTTCTACTTCAAAATATACAACTTAGTCAGTTTTAATAGCAATGCTAACGAATGGGGAGGATTCGAACAGACATACACAGTACAGCATAAATTAAACATAGCCGGAGACGCCACACTATACCGGCGCGCAGTACACAACAGAAAATAGGCACAACCATTCTATCTTAGGCAGTCCCAAGTGGCTAGGTTTGCCACAAAGTGATTAATGTGTAGTTGCTGTGACAGTCCCAAAATCCCTAACCTCTCCAGTCCATGGGTAGTTGACCTGCAGGGTCAGATCCTCTCAGTTATCTACTATCGGTTTGAGTTTGTCCTCATAAAGATACTCAGACAGCCTGAGATCAGGCTCTGTGGGAGTTACAATAATCTGTGACTCTGTAATTACAGACGTAAATAATACATCGAAATACACCGTATAACAAAATTACATAGAAAATAAAATTACTAATCACTAGTACACTAGTACCCCCATACATTATATACACAGTATATACAGGGGGTGTATGTCACGGCAAGGGTGTATAATTTATTATGACACTATGGAATATCATCTTTTAATGTGATTTCTTGTAGTAAATGGCACAAATTACAGAGATGCTATTGCTGAGGTCAACAGGGGTTACATCTTTTGAAGCTGGGACCCCCACAGAGGGCAGATGACAGAAGGGGTAGTGTGAATGGCATAGGAATGTGAAAAGGATTTTACTGTATGGATGTGAAGTCTGCAAGGTGTGAGGTTCTACACTTGGAAAAAGTCTGAATATCTCTTCATCCATTTGGCATGTACCTTGTAAGGGATGAGTAAATCTCTTTGATATGTAAATGCCATTAGCTTTGTTCTAGTATCATATCCAAAGGAAGGACAAAAAACATTCATATTTACCCCCACAGAATAATAATAAAGCCTCATTTTTGTTATATTTGGAATGTGACAAGCGCCATCTTCTAACCAAGTCCAAACATGAGTGGCCTAACTTGACCCTAGGGAAAGGAATTGTGATGTCCGTCCTATTGGATCGTGGGTGGGACGTGCAACATGTCTATGGAATGGGAAAATAATAACGAATTTGTAGATGCAATTATTATTTCTGTGGCAGGTACAAAAAAGAAGATAGAGTCAAATGTTTCCATTTGGACTGACAGTGGTCTGGAACAAAGGAGGTGGTCAGTTATTATTTCTGTAGGTACGCCTTAACTCCACCCCTGGGCAAGACTTGATAAACCACAGGGTATATATCTAATGATCCTGAAGGGTGTTGGTGTACTTGCTGGGGCCAAGATCTAATTTTGAGTGAGTCACCATCTTTCCTTGCCAGAGACCCCCTGGACAGAAGTTGTACTTTGAAAACCTAAGTGAGTAATTAGGACTTCTGTATTTTATCCTTTTTGTTTTTATCTGTTGTTGGTGTAAATAATTTGTTTATCATATATTGTTATATGCACTGTGACTATCTTTTGCTCATAATAAACATTCATTTATTAAGTTTTGCCTTTGTCTGGTTAAGAATCACGTTACCTGAAGAGACTAGTTAGTATTTTTGTAATTCCTTGAATATTGTACTAAGTAATATTTGGTGGGTTTTATTATTGATTTACCTGGGGGACCAAGGCACCAAATTTATAAATTGTCTTGGTGGTGGCAGCGTTAAAATAGTAATAGTTATATTATTATGTTTAAGTGTGGGTGGTGTTAAAGGGGGGATTTTGTCATTATTTCCGGTCTAGTGCAGACAAATAGTGAACTTTACCCTTTCACCACCACAACTACGTCATGCACACTCTTGGAGTAGGGTGCGTTCGTGACAGTGTATATTTACCCCCATACATTATATACACTGTATATACAGGGGGTGTATATTTACCCCCCATACATTATACACACAGTATATACAGGGGGTGTATATTTACCCCCCATACATTATACACACAGTATATACAGGGGGTGTATATTTACCCCATACATTATATACACAGTATATACAGGGGGTGTATACTTACCCCATACATTATATACACAGTATATACAGGGGGTGTATATTTACCCCATACATTATACACACAGTATATACAGGGGGTGTATATTTACCCCATACATTATATACACAGTATATACAGGGGTGTATATTTACCCCATACATTATATACACAGTATATACAGGGGGTGTATATTTACCCCATACATTATATACACAGTATATACAGGGGGTGTATATTTACCCCCATACATTATACACACAGTATATACAGGGGGTGTATATTTACCCCATACATTATACACACAGTATATACAGGGGGTGTATATTTACCCCCATACATTATATACACAGTATATACAGGGGGTGTATATTTACCCCATACATTATATACACAGTATATACAGGGGGTGTGTATTTACCCCATACATTATATACACAGTATATACAGGGGGTGTATATTTACCCCATACATTATATACACAGTATATACAGGGGGTGTATATTTACCCCATACATTATATACACAGTATATACATGAGGTGTATATTTACCCTCATTATATACACAGTATATACAGGGGGTGTATTTACTATACATTATATACAGTATATACAGGGGTGTACATTTACATTTACCATACCCATACATTATACACACAGTATATACAGGGGGTGTATATTTACCCCATACATTATATACACAGTATATACAGGGGGTGTATATTTACCCCATAAATTATATACACAGTATATACAGGGGGTGTATATTTACCCCATACATTATATACACAGTATATACAGGGGTGTATATTTACCCCATACATTATATACACAGTATATACAGGGGGTGTATATTTACCCCCATACATTATATACACAGTATATACAGGGGGTGTATATTTACCCCCATACATTATATACACAGTATATACAGGGGGTTGTATATTTACCCCATACATTATATATGCAGTATATACAGGGGGTGTATATTTACCCCATACATTATATACACAGTATATACAGGGGGTGTATATTTACCCCATACATTATATACACAGTATATACAGGGGGTGTATATTTACCCCATACATTATATACACAGTATATACAGGGGGTGTATATTTACCCCCATACATTATATACACAGTATATACAGGGGGTGTATATTTACCCCATACATTATATACACAGTATATACAGGGGGTTGTATATTTACCCCATACATTATATACACAGTATATACAGGGGGTATATATTTACCCCTATACATTATATACGCAGTATATACAGGGGGTTGTATATTTACCCCATACATTATATATGCAGTATATACAGGGGCTGTATATTTACCCAATACATTATATACACAGTATATACGGGGGCTGTATATTTACCCCATACATTATATACACAGTATATACGGGGGGGGGTGTGTATATTTACCCCATACATTATATACACAGTATATACAGGGGCTGTATATTCACCCCCATACATTATATACACAGTATATACAGGGGGTGTGTATTTACCCCCATACATTATATACACAGTATATACAGGGGGTGTACATTTACCCCCATACATTATATACACAGTATATACAGGGGGTGTATATTTACCCCCCCATACATTATACACACAGTATATACAGGGGGTGTATATTTACCCTCCATACATTATATACACAGTATATACAGGGGGTGTATATTTACCCCCATACATTATATTCACAGTATATACAGGGGGTGTATATTTACCCCA